TAATAGGTTTCCCCAAAATGGGGTTGTTAGTACAATGGCTAGGTATAATTTTAACTTAAAAATAACACCAAGATTTTTCTGAAAAAGTTATAGCAATTCACGTATCCACTAGAAATGTATGAGTGCTAATTTTTGCTAACTTAATTCATTAAAAAATACCTCATGGTTGCTTTACATTTCAATTATTTATAAAATATTTTACTTTTTAACACATACTATGTGCCAGTATTAACTCATTATGTCCTCATAATAATTCTGTGATGTGTAAGTACTTTTATTATCTCCATTTTACAGATAGGAAACTGAGTCACAAAAATGTCTTATTTGTTTTTTTATTTCAATAGATTTCATGGGTACAAGTGATTTTGTTTTGTTTGTTTTGTTTTTTATATAGATGAATCATATAGTGGTGAAGTCAGGGCTTTTAGTGTACCCATTATCAGAATAGTATATATTATACCCAATAGGTAACTTTTGATCCTTCACCCCTCCTCCCAACTTCCCCCTTTCTGAGTCTCCAAAGTCCATTTTACCACTCTGTATGACTATGTATACACATCATTAGCCCCCATTTATAAGTGAGTACATGTAGTATTTGTTATTCCTTTCTGAGATACTTCACTTAAGATAATACTTCCAATTCCATCCATGTTGCTGCAAAAGACATTATTTCATTCTTCTTTATGGCTCAGTTGTATTCCATGGTGCGTGTATGTGTGTGTGTGTGTGTGTGTGTGTGTGTATGTGTATACATACCACATTTTCTTTATCAACTTATCAGGTGATCAGCACTTAGGTTGATTCCTTATCTTCACAATTGTGAATTGTGCTGTGGTAAACATAAAAGTGCATGTGTCTTTTTGATATAATGACTTCTTTTCCTTTGGATAGATATCCAGTAGTGAGATTGCCAGATCAAATGGTAGGTCTGTTTTTAGTTCTTTCAGAAGTCTTAGCTGGTCCAAAGGTAGTGAGTTATGTCACTTGATTGTTCACAGTCAGTTACAGATTGACCTCCTTGTTCTCGCCTTTCTCCTCTTCTCACTACTGCACTGGACTAGTCTAAAAAAAATAAAAAGAAGTCTCCATACTGTTTTCCATAGAGGTTGTACTAATTTCCATTCCCACCAACAGTGTATAAGTGTTCCCTTTTCACCACATCTGTGCCAATAGCTATTGTTTTTTGACTTTTTAATAATGGTCATTCTAACAGGGGTAAGGTGGTACCTCAATGTGGTTTTAATTTGTATTTCCCTGATGATTAGTGATGTTGAACATTGTTTCATATGTTGGCTTTTGTATATCTTCTTTTAAAAAATGTCTGTTCATATCTTTTGCCCACTTTTTAATGGAGTTATTTGGTTTTTTGTCTTTTTTTGGGTTTTTTTTGCTGATTTTTTTTAGTTCCTTGTAGATTCTGAAAATGTTAGTCCTTCATTGGATATGTAGTTTGTGAATGTTTTCTCCCATTCTGTAGATTGCTGTGTACTCTGTTGATTATTTCTTTTGCTGTGTGGAAACTTTTTAGCTTAATTAAGTCCCATTTATTTATTTTTATTTTTGTTGTGTTTGCTTTTGGAGTCTTAGTCATAAATTCTTTACCTAGGCCAATGTCCAGAAGAGTTTTTCCTAAGTTGTCTTCTAGAATTTTTATGGTGTCAGGTCTTACATTTAAATCTTTAATTCATCTTAAGTTAATTTTTGTATATAGTAAGAGATAGGGATGCAAATTTCATTCTTCTGCATGTGGCTCTTCAATTTTGCCAGCACCATTTATTGACTAGGGTGTCCTTTCCCCATTGTATGTTTTTATCAGCTTTGTTGAAGATAAGTTGGTTGTAGGTATATGGTTTTATTTTGGGGTTCTCTATTCTGTTCCATTGATCTATGTGTCTACTTCTATACCAGTACAATGCTGTTTTGGTTACTATAGCCTTACAGTATAATTTGAAGTCAGGTAGTGTGATGCCTCCAGATTTGTTTTTTTTGCTTAGGATTGCTTTGACTATTCTGGCTCTTTTTTTATTTCTATGAAATTTAGGATTTTTTTTTCTAATTCTGTGAAAAATGACATCATCAGTATTTTGATGGGAATTGCATTGAATCTATAAATCACTTTGGGCAGTATGGACATTTTAACAATATTGATTCTTCCAATTTGTAGCATAGAATGTTTTTCCATTTGTTTGTGTCTTCTACAATTTCTTTCATCAGTCTTTTGTAGTTCCCCATATAGAGATCTTTCAACTCCTTGGTTAAGTATATTCCTAGGTATTTTATTTTTTTTGCACTGTTATAAATGGTATTGAGTTCTTGATTTGATTCTCAGCTTGGCTGTTACAGAAATGCTACTGATTTGTATACATTAATTTTGTAACTTGAAACTTTACTGAATTTATTTATCAATTCTAGGAGTCTCTTGAAGGTGTCTTTAGGGTGTTCTGTAAGATCAAATCATCAGCAAACAGGGATAGTTTAACCTCCTCTTTTCCAATTTGAGTGCCCTTTATTTCTTTCTCTTGCCTGATTGCTCTGTCTAGGACTTCTTGTACTGTGTTGAGTAGAAGTGATAAAAGAGGGCATCCTTGCTTTGTTCAACTTTACCCCATCCAGGATGACGTGGGCTGTGGGTTTCTCATATATGTCTTTTATTATTTTGAAGTATGTTCCTCCTATGCCTAGTTTGTTAAGGGTTTTTAACATGAAGGAATGTTGGATTTTATCAGATGCTTTTTCTGCATCTATTGAGATGATCATATGTTTTTTGTTTTTCATTCTATTTATATACTGAATCACATTTATACCTTGTATCATCCTTTCATCCCTGGAATGAAACCCACTTGATCATGGTAAATTATTTTTTGGATTGGGTTTGCTAGTATTTTGTTGAGGATTTTTGCATCTATGTTCATGAAGATACTGGTCTGTAGTTTTCTTTTTTTGTCGTATTATTTCCTGGCTACTAACGAATATTAGGTGATACTGACTTCTTAAGGTCACCCTGCAAATCTTTCGAAGGAGGATCCCCTCCTTTGCGATATTATAGAACAGTCACAAAGAAGTTAAGTTATGTGGCAGCAGTTACACAGCCAGTCCATAGTGGAATCAGCATTTGAACCTAGGCAATCTGTCCAGAGTCCATGATCTTTGCTGTTATTCTTTGCTGCCTGTGTTAGTGAGACTGAATATTATTTTTATGTTTTGTTTTTTCTTTGTCATTAGTAACCACTTTTTGTACAGAGTAAGTATTTGTGTGTTGAAAATGTTTTCTGCCGCTCTGTTGCTGATCTTTACTCTTTTTTTGTTACCTTAAAAACTCTTATTTCCTTTTAATTTTTAGATGATCAAATGTATATGTTCATTCTTATTTTTAAACATTTCAAACAATAGAGAGGAAGTTTCTTTTTTTAAAGTAAATCAGAATTATTATACAATTATTATATGTTTGTATAAATTATTATACAAACAATACAAATTGTTTGCAGCAGCAACTCATAATTCTTTTTAAACTTGCTGTATCATTTTACTCCTAAAGTTGCTATGTAGTATATACATAATTGTGTTTTGAGAATTGCTTGTAATTTCAATCCCTCAGATGGTCACTAAATACCTATTATGTGCTAAGTATCATTCTGGCAGTTCTGTCCACTCTCTCTAGCATTATCAAGAGTTTTGCTCTTCACTGCATCTTTGCCATCAATACACAAGCATGTTCTTTTTCCTCCCTTCTTAAAAATGACCTTCTCTTAACCCCACTTCCTTTTCCAGCTACCACTTCAATTAAAGAAACTACTCTGGTATACCTTCTCAGTGAAGCCTATACAGACCACCCTATTTAAAATTGGAATCCATCCCATCCCAGTACTAACAATTTTCTTTACCCTACTCATTATTTCATTCAAAGCAATTTTAACCTCTTACATACTGTATAATTTAGTTATTGTGAGTATTGTTTCTTTTCTCACTAGAATCTAAGCTCCATGAAGAAGGAATCTCACTAGCATATAGTAGGATCTCAGTAAATATTTTTTAAGTGAGTGAATGAAAGCACTATGCCAAGTATTGAGGAAACAGAAACAAATAAGATCTTGTGCCAGCAATTAAGCAGTTTATGGGAGAGACAGATGGATTTCAATATAATGTGGCACATTCTTTGATAGAGGTTTCCCTAAAAATTTCAGTAGGAAGGGAAACATTTAAAGAAGTTAGCTTGGCTGGGCACTGTGGCTCACACCTGTAATCCTAGCACTCTGGGAGGCTGAGGCGGGAGGATTGCTTGAGATCAGGAGTTCAAGACCAGCCTGAGCAAGAGTGAGAGCCCATCTCTAATGAAAATAGAAAAATTACCGAGGTGTGGTGGTGCACACCTGTAGTCCCAGCTGCTTTGGAGATGGTTTGAGCCCAGGAGTTTGAGCTTGCAGTGAGCTATGATGATAACACTGCACTCTAGCCAGGGCAACAGAGAGAGAGAGACTCTGTCTCAAAAAATAAAATAAAATAAAGCTTAAATTAAGATCTCCCTCAGCCATAATTTGAAAACCATTTTAAAAGATCTACCAATCCATTTTATTTTATATCAGTATAGTATACATATATGTATACATGTATCAGCATACAAGATCTTAGTAAAAGAAGTAGGTTTGTGCAAAAATCTAACCTGAAAGTTTAGATAGGTAAACAATACTTTAGTATAAATAAACATTTGTAATCAACCAGGGATGGGGAACCTGGGGCCTTGGGGCCACATGTGGCCTGGATACTTGAGTGTGGCCTTTTGACTGAATCCAAATTTTACAGAACAAATCCTTTTAATAAAGGCATTTATTCTGTGACATTTGGATTCGATCAAGGGACCACACTTGGGGATCTGGAGGGCTACATGTGGCCTTGAGGCCACAGGTTCCCTACCCCTATGTGGTGTATACTATGAATAAATCAACATATCTTCATATTTAAACATACCAATAATTTTTAATATACAGTTCTTTTTCTCTGAACAGAGCGTGTGACCATCTGCGTTGTATAGCCTGTGATTTCTTGGTAGTAAGCTACAATGACTACATGTGGGACAAATCATGCGATTATCTGTTTTTCAGGTATGTTGCTAAATAACTTTACTGGTGTGAAAAATGTACCACATACTTTATATTTCTTATTTTGCTATATTGTCTCTTGGTGGACTTGGCCAGATCATGTGATCTCCACCTCTCTAATACAGCCATAACTCCACATAATGACATTTCAGTCAACAGACTGCATTATGACAGTGGTCCCATAAGATTATAATGGAGCTGAAAAGTTCCTGTTACCTAGTGATGTTGTAGCCATTGTAATGTTGGAGTGCAGCACATTACTCATCTGTCTGTGGTGATGCTAGTATAAACAGTTACATGCCATACAGGTTTGTAGCCTGGGATCAATAGACGACACCATATGGCCTGGGTATATAGTAGGCTATACCTACCATCCAGGTTTATATAAGTGTACTCTATGATGTTCACACAACTAAATTGCCTAAAACAGGGTTCTCAGAAAGTATGCCATTGTTAAGTGACGTATGACTGTATTTCTATCATCCATTTCCTGCTTTCTGTCTGCCATCAGTCTGGATAAGGACGTGTTACTTGTGGACAAGAATAGAGAAGTAGCCTCCTCACTGATTTTTCTGCCTACAGTCTCTTTCAGACCATCCTTCCCTTGCTCAGAATTAAAGCATAGCTCTGAGTATACCATTCTCCTCCTGCCTGGCACCCTTCTGTTTACAGAATAATGTCCAAATCCCTTAGCATGGCATTCAAGACCCCCCGTGATCCAGTTGCTGTCCATCTATCATCCAGCTTTGTCTTCCCGCAATGTATGTTGCACTTTTGCAAGATTTTAGCTATATCAGAGTACTCAGTGCTCAATCCCTCTAACCTTCTGCAAGCTGTCCACCTCCTGGGACAACTTCCCACCATTTATCTACCTAAACTCTACCTGTCCTTCAGAGTACAGTTTATCACACATCCTCCATGATTCCCTCACCACTCTCTCACCTTGGGAGTAATCTCTTCCCTTCCTGTGTGTACATAGCACTTCATACCTGTTACATAATACAATATAAAATTAAAGATCTTAGGTTCATGTATGGCTGGTGTCTAACTCATATATTTATAATTCGTACATTCTTACACACTTACAGAATAGCTAATATTTTTAAGCTGTTACAAGTTATAAAAATGTATTTGAACTATACATTCATATTTTCAAATAAACATGAGCTAAAAATTAATAAAGTGCATGTATCATGCATTTTTGACCCCCCAAACCTGTGCCTAAATAAAGACTATTTTCAGATACAAGTAATCAAAATATATTACAGCACACTTCAATAGCATAAAGAAAAGGGTAAGAGACTTTTTTTCACACCTCTTCTGGCAGACATTCTCGGGGAAATCCATAGGAATCTCCCCTAAATTAATAGCTTTTAAACTTTTTCACATCAAGAACTACTTTGAAAATCTTATGAAAACTTTGAATCCTCTTCACACACATAAACATACAATCTAAATATATAAATACATGGGAAAATTACAATTTGAGAGGTTTCACAGTTCCCAACCCAAATAAAACCTAGTGTATTCCCAAAATTCTAGGTCAGGAACCCTTACTCTTAGATTTAGCTCACTTTTTACTACTCTGGTTGGAAAGTTAGCTTTTAGTTTCAGGTTCATTTTGCCTTTTCTGACTTTTCTAAACCCTCTGCTATTTACTGTCTACTAGTTAATCTAATAAGTGGTTAATAATCCCCATATGTCACCAAGATGAACCATGAATTTTTATAAAACTAGTATAGGATAATAAAATGCATATAACATCAAAACATTGGTGACCACAGGCATGAATTAACCTTATGGGTGACTTAGTTGATAGTCGAGGAACTTGCAGTGTCTCAGAGTCATCAAGAATATCAGTTAGCTTACTCTAGATCTGTGGCAGCCTGGTTTTTAAAAAAATACATACTTTTATTTCAACAGTGACAACTAGAATATTTGTTATACTCTTAAATGTAAACAAGTAGTCATTGTTTAAATCAGTAGGAAATACTATCTCAGTCCTCAAGATGCTTTGGAATATGTTTGGGAGATAAGAGAATGGAACAACTAAAGAGTAAGACTTGTCTGTACCATCAGGATATAAACCACTGATATGTTGTTTATTTTGTATGGCTTACTAGTATTTCTTTATCCAGCAGACATTATTCAGTACCTAGTCTACGGCATCCTAGAGATGACAATGTCATCCTAGAGATGACAATGCCCAGTTTTGCGAGGAAGAGACATCATGGGATAACGTCGTATAGTAAACATGATAGTAGAGCTAGGTTAAAAAAAAGAGGGGCATCAGAGGGCAAGGTGGATATACTCCACCCTGAGACATCAGGGGAGGCCTCTTACAGTCTTTTAGAATAATCAGGAGTTTGTCTAGCAAACAGGATGGACACTGGTATTCTTTTAGGAGGTATTTTTAAAGACACAGAGGGATGAAACCACGTGACATATTTGGGGAGTTACAGGTAGTTTGAACTGTGTAAAGCGTTGGATACAAGCGTGAGAGATGGCAAGAGGTGCAGTAGTAGAGATCAGAAAGAGCCAGGGAAGCAATACTGAGGAATTTGTATTTAATTCTTTACGCAGTAAATAACACTTGCAGGTTTTTAATCAGGAGAAAGAGATGAACAGATCACTGATCACTGTATGGGAACCAGGCCAGTTGAGAATCATGGGGATTAATGAAGGGATGTTGCTAATCCAGTGGAAAGAAAATGGAGATCTGAATTATGGCAGGGAGGAGGGTGGAGAGAGTAGATGTATTTGAGAGATATTTGAGAAGTAGTCTTGGCTGTGGAAGGTTAGAAACAAATATCATCTAGGATACATCCTAGATTTCTGTCTTGGTTTACATAGGTGGACAGTGATACTGTCCATTGATGAGAGAATGTACGAACCAATTTGAAAGAAGAGGCTATATGTTCATTTATGGGAGCTGTTGAAACTGTGGCTCTGGAGCTCAGGTAGGAAATGTAATATATAAAGTGGAAGTTGAAGCCATGAGATTGGATGGTATACCCAAGAAGGCAACTTGGATGACTGTCAGTCAATGTACAGTTAAGGGATCGTTTTGTCAACATAGAAGACGCCTTGTTGTTTTTATATATATATAATGAATACCCTTCTATATTTTCTTTCATGTTCTTACAAACTTATAACCATGTATACAGGAATTTTTTCTTCAGTCGCAGAGGAGGTCCTCATCTTCCTATCCAAGGCTCACTTTCCGTCAGTGCTCCGGGCCCCATTGCCTCCAGGACCTTGCTACTCAAATAACCTGTTCCCTCCCATGTCTACCACCCCCCTTGATAAACAGAATTTATTGATAAAGAGAATTAAATTAGGTTTATTCACTGACCTAGAGGGATATCCAAAGCAAAATGCACAGTAGCATATATAGCATAATCCTATTTTTGTAAAACAAATCAGAAAAAATTCCTGTATAGGTGGTTTTAAGTTTATAAGAACATGGAACAAAATGTAGAAGATTATATATTATACTATATACTATATATAAAAACATCAAACCATGTCCTGTCTTGACAAAATGATCCTTTAACTCTGCATTCACTTAGAGTCTTCCAAGTTGCCTTCCTGACACTTAGGGAAAGCTAGCTAGGAAATGGAAGGCTTTTCACATCTGGTGGCCTAATGTTGAGAATGAGGGTGTGATCTGCTGAAAGTAAGGAAGTGAAGGATAGATGAAACACTTGAGGAGGATGGGAAATAATCACTGAGGGAAGCCAAAAGTGGGCAGTGACCAAAGGCAAGTGAAAAGATTTGCAGAGTACTATTGATTGTCCTGCAGAACATAGGGAGCTGTTTATTTTTAGCAGTGTTGATCTGCACACTTGTTACGCAGTGAAATGCCGTGCAGTTTGTTTTATTGTCCTATTTTACAGATGCGAGACAGAAGCGTATCTTAGCTTTGTCAAGTTTTAGAACTTTCTAAAAGAAACGTAAATTAATTGACCACACTGCCACATTAAATTTTCTGTTAAATCATGTGCTTTGTTTAAGGGAAAATAATAGAATGATTTTTTTCCTAAGCTTTTAAGATATGTGCTTCTTAAAAAGCATTTAAAATGTAGTAATTATATCCCTGGCTTTTCATTATTTCTATTCCTAAAATCTCTAATTAAGGATTTAGTCAAGTATCAAATGTTAAGTTCTTAAAGCTTATTGCAGATTGAATAAAGGACGTTTTCCTTCAACAACTTAGTTTTGGTGATTTTTTTTCCTGTTAAAACTTAGACTATTCAGTTCTTCTCCTAGCTAAGTCATTTAGCTAGTCAGAGACTCAGTTTTCTGAAATCAGGCAGTTGGCCTGGAAAATCTCTCAGGTTTTGTTAGGTACTACCCTTCTAAATTGTACCTGAATTTTGTATTATACAATACACTACTGAATGTGGTGCCCATTGACCACCAGGGGGCACTTTGGAACCTGCCTTCTATTGCAGTGATACCAACAAGAAATGGTTAGCACTGTATCTCTTTTTTTAGTATTTATACTGTATTTCATCATTTCCCTTTGTATTTTTTTATCATTTCATTTTTAATTTTTTCATTTTTTGCCACTGAATGTTTATATAAACACAGTACATGGATTATCATGAAAATCATAATTGATTTTATTAATTAAACTTAAATTAATTTCTATAATCTTTTTTTATAATAGCATTAAATCCAATGGTTATCATTTTTATGGTGGTCCTACTCATTGATTTAATTATTTAACATTAACAATTATTTCAAGATATTTATTTTGTTGCTGATAATGTAACTAAGCAGATCATTGAAACAAATGAAAGATACAGTCTGAGTTCAACATATAGAAATAACAGGTACTTTGTTAATGAAAATTTTCTATAATTAATTAATCATAAGCCTGTTATGTTTATGGCTCTTATATTCTTTCCACTTGCCTTATTGCAGGCTTTTAAAATATGGTAGAGGTGAGTATCTGAGGTAGATGAACCACCATCCTTTCCACCCTGTTCTCATATTATGTCATCTCTGACAGGACAAATCAATAACTCTTCAGCCCTTTAGGTTATTGTGTTCTATAACCATTTTAATAAACAAGCCTATAGAAGTAACATGAAAAGTACTGATTATCAAAGAAATACCATCAGAAAGAGAACACTGAAGCATATATTCTGTTGTTAGTATGAGGGGATAAAGATTGTTTAGAGTTCATATATTGTAAAGATAAGAAAGCAATTACTTTTTTAGGGAGAGTCATTGAGCACTGAACAAATCCACTATGCTAAAACCTTCCTGTTTTACTAATAGGAACAACATGCCAGAATTCCACAAATTAAAAGCAAAGTTGGTAAAGAAGAAAGGAACCCGGGCATACGCCTGCCAGTGTAGCTGGAGAACTATTGAAGAACTGACTGACCTTCAGACAGATCATCAGCTTCGTTGGGTTTGTGGTAAACATTGAGAATACAGATTTCACATTCGGACAAATGCATGAATGAGAGCAGTCTCCATTAATGTCATGTTTAAGCAAAGGTTATGTAGCAATATCATGCCCTTTGGAAAAAGACAGTGAATTTTATTTAATATAACTATACAAATTTTTGAAGACCAAATGGACTTGGGAAGATAATGTGTATAATACTTTGTAATTATTCCTTTTTGATACATAGACATTTCACTTAGTAAGTAAAGTGAAAAGTATCCACATTCTTTGCTACTCTATGTCCTGTTAAATGGAAGTTTAATTATAGAATTTTATACAAATATATAGCCTTTCATTAGCAACTGTAGTATTGACTGCTAATACACTTAGCAAAACATTCCTTATTTATGGTAATTAAAGCAGATAAAGCCAACCAGGGCAGAGAAGTCATTTAGGGATGTCTACAACACCTCCTCTAGTCAGATCTAGTGTTGACAAAGATCATAATTTAGACATGGCAGAAACCAGGTGATCATTGGGCTAACCTAAGAGTTATCAGGAGTATAGGTATGTTGTAAAACACTGCCTTATATCTGATCTTACATCACCAACTCAAAGCAATGTTACGTACAATAATAAGTGTATATTACCAGTTTGAGATTATTTCTCCTCCTTTTGTTCATTTACATACCAAAAGTTTAGTTCGTTATTTTAGTAAATGTCCATTTATATATTAAAAAATTTGTGATGTACCTAAAAATCACAAAAATCCTAATGAGGTCATTGTTCGATTGTCCAAGTACTCCCTAGCCTTTAATGCCTAACGCTCCATCAAGTGAAGTGAACAGCAAGTAAGATAATTTTTCAGGCAGCCTGTGGACTTTCCTGATAGGATCAGGTTGACATATTGTTTATTAGACGAGTACATAAAAAGAGAAATAAACCGTAACCGAACCATTAGGTTACCTGTTGGGCTCCTTGTTGACTTCACTGAGACTTGAGGAATCCTACAAAAGCAGCACCTTCAGGAAATCAGGTACTTCAAAATTCCAGCTCCCAGCCCCATTGAGAAATTCTGGGAACTCTCCAGTCTGCCAAAAACTCTTTGCCACATATGTCCACTATGTAGTTCAAATGTATGACACAAAGCACACTGAAAAGGAATAATTGGAGCAAAGTTATGATCTGCTTAGTCTTACGCTGAATTCATTCCAGCCACCCTGCAGAATCCCTTTCCTAGCCATGACATATTTGCATACTTGTAAAACTTACTCTAGTAAGTCTGACATTGCAACAGAACAAATCTCATAGTGGCTCACACTTTTGTATTAAGGATATGTTTACAGATTTTATCTTTCAAAAAAAGTTTTTTACTTCCTAAAATCATATCTCTGTGTAATTGTGTCAGAAATGTAGGGGGATTTGGGGTGAAGTCAACTATTCGAAAAAAAATAAAGCAACAAGATCCACACTTTCAGAACCTAATAGAATTTGGCACATTAGCTATAAGGATGAAATTTTCTTTTTATTCCAATGAGCAAATTTACTAAGTCCTTAATTTGAAAATTTTTTTTAACCTACTTTACTTTACCTCTACTTTGGAGAGAAAAAATTGTCCCATTTCATTTTTTTCTCTTTTATTATTTCATTATAACTATCCTAAAACTTGGTTACATTGCCCATGTTTGGCATTCCATAGCATAATAATTCCCCCATGTCAGAAATGTATATATGAGTTCCCATTTTTATTGGCAATTTAGTTTATAAGCTTTTTAATATTGTACTATTTTAATCTAAAATGTAGAAAGAATATTGTATGTCTATATACAAATGGATAAATTATTACCTGTTGTAATTTAAGCCAAAATGCAACTATTCTGGTATCAAGATAGAAGAAAAGCGTAGTTTCTAATCAACTGTAATTTTTAAATGCAAAATCTATAAAACTTTGAAGATGTTTTGTCTATTCTCAATATTTACAATAATTTTCTACCTTTAGCAAGTACTTATTGTGAGGCCAGGTAACTACTTTATTTGAACTATATTATATTCTCAGACCCTTATTCTACCTAGAAATGAGTAAATAATAACAGCTTTACTCTCTGTTCAGTTACTTCTTTTATTTTATAGTAAAGTATTTATATGGACATTAATTGAAATAATTTTGATAATTTCTTTTAAAATGTCAACAGAAAAGTTTCCAACCATCCAGTTGAACAAAGAATTTGTTTACATTGGGGAGGAAAAGCATGCCATAAGTTTGAGAGAGAGAGTGTGTGTGTGTATTTGTGTGTGTGCGTGTATACATGCATGTATAAAAGAGTGTGGATATTCAAAGGAACAGGTCCCAGTTCAAGAAAAGACCATGTTGACATGGTGGTATATATCTAGACCCTGTTTATTGATGTCAGTAAACTTAGCACCTGTCTTTTCTTGGACCAAAGAAGATGACATCAGACTATGAATCTGAATTGCTTTCTCTCTTTTTCTTACTGACCTAATATTTTAAAATATGAAAAAAAAAAATTGTATCCAGTAGTAGTGTGATGAAGCTTAGCAGTAAATTTCAAATGCTGATATTTCTCAGCTGTTATATTTTATCAAAATCTATCAGCTAACATCCTGCTCCAAGTAATCAGGTATATCGTGTAAAATAGTTCTGAAGCAGAGAAAAATTCAAGATATACTACCTCTTTTGAGGTTTCACATCTTATGATATTTTTGGGGGTTTGTTGACACCATTTCATTGCAAAGGATATATAGATATACACATGGATGATAATTAAATTTGACTTTCCCTAAATGCCTTGAGATGATGACAAAATGAAGCATTAACTGAATCAGAGTTGGGAGTCATGTCCTTTAGAAAGTTAATTGACTTTTTTGGGCTTCATTTGCTGCATCTATATAAATGGTGCTATCTCTTTGGTAAGCTTGTAGTAAGGATTAAGTCATATAACATGAAAAGTGACTTGCATAGTATTTGGTTCAAAATAAGTGCTTAATAAATGTCCTCATTCTTTTTCCTTTTAAAATGAATACTGTCTAAATTAAAATAATAGTGCCGCATGTTTCCTACAGCAAGTCATTTAACCACATTTGTTTTATTCATTCCTTATGAGAAAAGCAACAATGCTGTCATTTCTCTTTTATAACTAGTGAATGTAAACATGACCACCTTTATTTTATGTAAGTTGAAGCCCCAACTTGCCTTAAAAAAAAAAATCTTCCCCTTAGCCTGCCTCTTCCTATCTGGCTTAAATTTACGTGGGGGTCATCATGAAAGCATTCTGGACCTTTTGCAGATCTTTTCAGTTTCATCTGCCTCTGCTTTTATTCCTCCTCCAACCACACTGCCTACTACTGTTCCTCAGTTTACTCCCCTCACTCATCTTACCCTATCAAAATCCCACTCAATTTTCAAAGCCAGCACACCAGCGATTCTCAAAGTGAGGTCCACTCTCTGGGGTCTTTCAGGGGGTCCATAACGTCAAATCTATTTTCATAAAAGTAGGATGTTAATTTCCTTTTTGACTATGTCAACATTTGTATTGATGGTGGAAATAGTAGGTAAAACTGCGGGCACCTTACTTAGCACTATTTAAAGCAGTGCCACCATGCACTTGCCTTAAAAAAAAAAAAAAAGAAAGAAAAAAGAAAAACCAATTTCTCTTAAGACTCTCCTTGATAAAGGCAGTAAAAATTATTAATTTTATTAATCTCAGCCTTCAAAAACATATTTTTTAATATTCTATGTGATTGGGAAATATACATAAAGCACTTGTACAACTATCTGAGTTTTGAGCTAAATAAACTGCTTTTTTCATGTAACTTATTTTTGCTTGAAAGAAGAACTGACGAACTGTGAGTATTCAGAAAATTAATAAGGTGAATCCCCTCCAGGAAAGTAACTGACGTATTCTAAGCGAAAATTAGAATTTTGGAAAACTTGTATCCACCACTGTGAGCATGACAGCTTCCCAATACTTAAATTCTTTCCAGATGAGACTAGCAGTGATATTAACAAGGGATTTTTTGATACTATATAATGAAATGTGACAATATTTGGAAGATCTGTATAATTCAACAAACCAATATTGCCAAATAACCTATGCATGATATAACAAAAGTATGCATTTAAAGTACAAGAAAGGCCAATGGATTTTAACATAATAGAGTACTGAAAATTCATTTGATACAATTTCAATTTCCACATTACAACTAACTTGAAACTCGTGCTTGTCAAGGTTTGATACAGTATTAAAGAATAGCCATGATTATCTACAAAGACTGTTAAAATACTCTTCTTTTTTCCAAGTACATTTCTGCATGAGGCTGAATTTTCTTCCAAGGCTTCAACCAAAACAACCTATTTCAAGAAGGTAAATGCAGCAGTAGATATGAGAATCAAGCTGTCCTCTGTTAAGACAGAGATTAAAGAGATTGGCAGAAACATAAAACAAATGCCACTCTTCTCAGTGTTTGTTTTGCAAAATACAGTTGTTTTCACAAAAATTGGATAATAGAATTGGGTTTATTATTTTAAGTATATATAGTACTATATATTTTTAATGTTAATTTTAATTTCTAGTACAATAATATCAATAGATAGAACCACAAAAAAAGCAAGCTCTTTGGGGTTCACAGTCACGTGTAAGAGTGTAAAAGGGTCCTGAGACCAAAAAGTTTGGGAACTGTTGTACACAGTCCTGATTACTCTCCCTACCCACGCCCAACCCAAGCCTACAGATGAAATTTCTCCCCTTCCACCTGCTTTTGGCCTTTCTGTTTCTCATATAACCTTGCATTATAATTTGTGTGCTTATTGTATTCATCTTGAAAATGAGATTTCAAGCTCTTTAAAGTCTCTCCGTTGTATGGGGGAAACTCTCTGGGACAGTTAATGCCACTAACTTCCTGAGGCACTGTAACTCAGAGTATCTTTGGGCTCATCTGGAAAATGAGAGTCGGATTTAATGACATATGTTTTCTTCTAGCTTGAAAATGTTACAAATACTGTTTCTCTAAAAATACGTTGGTTGACCCAGTGTCATGCTGTCCGCACATTGGGAGATGTACATGGAGTGGGGAAGAGCCCAGATCCTAGGGTTTGAGAGACATGGGTTTCAA